TATATTTATATATATTTATATATATTGATATATATATATTTATATATATCAATATATATTTATTTACTTATTTATGCTTGCAGCATACGATTTAACTCGTTGTGAATGCATTTATACATACATATATATACATATATTTACATATATTTATGCAGAATTAGTTAATTTATTAATTAATTAATTTATTTATTTATTTATTTATTTATTTATGTTTGCAGCATATGATTTAACTCGGCATTCAGAAGCATCGAAGGTTCCGCTGGTTGCGTTGGAGCGTCTGTCTACACCGATTACAGAAAATTATATTAAAGCAAATTATAATAAACAAAAGATAGGGGTAACGTTTAAAAGAGAGCAAAATACTGTTATTAATTGTATAGAGAGTTTAAGCGATGAAGAAAAACAAAATTTTGAGCGAGAGCTGCAGCAAAACGGGTCTTATAAACTCTCCTGCAGCAGCGAAAGCAGCAGCAACTGCAGCAGCAACAGCAGCAGCAGCAGCAGCAGCATGAAGGAGTTTATTATAACAAGGGATATGGTCTCCTTCTCATCAGCTGTACGCACTGTTTGCGAGCGTAGATACACCCCAAGTGTTATAGAGCCTTCATTTGGCTTAGGCCGAATATTATATTGCACATTAGAGCATGCATTTGCATCTCGAGAAGTTTATAATCAAGAAGAAAGAGTTTATTTAAGAATCCCTGCGATTATAGCTCCTATTAAAGTTGTTTTATTACCGTTATCAAATAATCCTACTCTAATACCGATGCTGCAGCAAGTGCAGCAGCTGCTGCAGCAAGTGCAGCAGCATCAGCAAATTGTATTTAAAACTGATACAAGCGGTGTATCGATCGGAAGAAGATATGCTAGAGCAGATGAGATAGGTATCCCTTTTGCGATTACTATTGACTTTGAATCTGTTGAAGATAAACAAATTACTTTACGCGACAGAGACAGCATGCAACAAGTACGAATGCCAGCTGCAGATACACCTCAAATCCTGTCCAAACTCTGCATGCAAACTTTACTGTGGGGAGATCTCATTAAGATATATCCGATTGTCAGTGTTGATGAACAAGATTAAAAAAACTCATGAAGCAGCAGCTGCTGCTGCAGCAACTGCTGCAGCAGCAGGTGGTGCAGCAGATGCAGCAGCAGCAGGTGTTACAGCGGATGCAGCAGAAACAGAAGCAGCAGGTGATGCAGCAGCAGCAGTAACAGCAGCAGGTGCTGCGGGTGACGCAGCAGCAGCGGCAGCAGGTGCTGCAGCAGCAGCAGCAGCAGCAGCAACAGCAGCAGCAGCAACAGCAGCAGCAGAAGCAGCAGCAGCAACAGCAGCAGCAGAAGCAGCGGTTGTGCACCGCATTGGCTTCATCTTTGCTTTTTGTTGCAGCTGCCTATACACCGCACGATGAGAGTCTCCGTCTCTGTTTATTATTATTATTTTCTCGCAATAATATCTTTATTATTTACTGCAATTTATAAATATATATATATATATATATTATATATATTA